AACATCAATTTAATAACAACAACTAAAAACCATAAAATCATAAGTAAGAATAAAGGCACAAAATTCCAGAATCAAATAAATAAGTTATAAAGTACATAATTTAAAGAAGGAATTCTTTTTGTAAAAACAGGGGTTTGAGCACATATTAAAATCATTCAATAAAATTAAATCTATACTTTAGGAAGTTTCTTTTTCCTAAAGTCTATATCCTGGACAAAGGATCAGAACTACAGAACCAACTGAAGCCTTTATCATAAATGTAGAGGCCTTTTCTTTCCTTACAGCAATGCAGAATCTCTATGTAGGAATTCCTTGGAAAACCTTTGGAAGGTGCAGATATTACTCTTATTCCAGTTGCATTAATTAATTGTTTGTTTCCAGATACAATTCAAGCTCCTGACTTCAAAGTTTTCAGCATCTGAAATCTAGGTATATACCTAACTTCAACTGTATACCTGAAAACAGGCAGCAGTCAGGTGTAACATGAAGACTTGGCTTTTTCCCCACTTTTATGAGCAGTGTGTGAATACATGCACATGCTCCATTTTCGTAAGCAGTGAGCACCCGTGCATGCTGTTCATGCAAATGGAGTTGCGTGAATATGCAGCACTTGCCGGCCACTTGCACGGAACCATCCCCTCTCCCTTCCTCTCTGCTCGTCTGCAAAGCCAGAAAAGTTGGGGAACTCTGCTCTAGCAACTTCCACTGCTGTTTTAAACAAGAGAACCCCATGGCACAAGCCAACTTATTAGCAAACATTCAAAGGATTGTGTGGTAAGCTGATTATTCCTATTGTCTTAATACTGAATAGTAATTAAAATAAACAAGTCCAATAACTGCTCAAATAATCATTATCCTACTAAAAACCTCAGCATAACTTTCTGTTGATCTTCATTTATTGATCTTCAGAAATACAGGCACTCCTTGACTTATGACCTCAATTGGACCAGAATTTCCATTGCTAAGCACAGTGGCTATTAAGTGAACTGGGCCAAGATCGCCAAACAGAGTCTGTCATACTTTGTTTATGTCATGAGAGCTGACTCACTTGAAAAGCCAATCATGCTGGGGGAGTGATCAACGGAGAAAGGGCTACCCTAGTATGGACACTATAAAGGATGATACTGGGATGATTATGGCAGATCTAAATAAGGCAATGCGAGACAGGGGGGCATGGAGAGTGCTGATCCACAGAGTGGCCAAAGGTCGGACACGACTGAATGGCTGATGATCAACCCCTCATTTTACTATCTTTTTGCCACAATTGTTAAGCAAATCTTTGTGGCTGCTAAGTGAATCACATGGCTGTTAAGTGAATCCAACTTCCCCCACTGACTTTACTTATTGGAAGCAACTGGGAAGGTCACAAATGGTGATCACATGACTCCAAGACGCTGCAACCACTATAAATAAAACTTGTTACCATGTGCCTGAATTCTGAAATGTGACTTTGCAGATGCTGTGATGGTGGGTAATGTGAGGACCAGTTGTAAGTCACTTTTTTCAGTGGTGTAGTCATCTTTGACAGGTGCTAAACAAATGGCTGTAAACTGAGGACTATCTGTTTATAATTAATTCTTGAATATTGAAATAGGTTTTGATTTCAAGAGGCTGAATGTATTGCTCCATCAGGTATATGTGGAACACTGAATGCTAGCAGCTGTTAATGCAGCCAAGTAAGGCTGAGGTATCTGCATATTTCGTATCTTGTCCAAATATAATGCATTCGCTGATTTTATCTCTATCAAACTTGTTCCATTATCAAGTTCAAATGGCACAGAAGATAGAGATGTACATATACTTTTTAATCAGATAATCTCACTGCTTTCATGTTGTCAGGGTACTTAAGCAGCTCAAAAGGCTCATCTTAGTGATAATTACACCTAGGGATGAATTTTAAAAAATGCACAAGGCAAGCTAACAAAATGAGGTCCAACACTGAGCAACAAAAACGATAAATCAACACCATTTGGCATCCAGCTGCATCTTTGCATGATATTGACCACTGTAGCTAGTCAGCATTATCACCACTTCATTCAGGTAGAATGCAGGCCCATATTGATTGCTTTTATTCATTGCAACAATTCCTGTTTTTCTTAACTGTAGTTTCTTTGAATAAATCACAATTAGTGGGTCTCCCATATCAAGCTAAGCTAAAAATAAAGAATCATGGTTTTCAGACCATCTTGACTGAGTTCAAGTAGCACGTTAACCCAAAGCAAAATATATTTAGGCTTAGTATGATTATGAATCCAGAATTTATTGATATTTCTCAAGAGGATCCTGCATATAATGAGCTTGCAGATAAATCATATATTTGTGATTATTTATCTGAATAGAGTCACAGGTTCCTGTCAACACAACAAATGAAATTAAAAAAATACAAAGGCTAATGAAAAATCAACAGCAAAGGGGATAAAAAGCATGGCAAATAATAAAATCCATTGAGTCTTCCTGCTGTAACTTTAACTCATTGTTTCTAAATGCCTCATTACAAAATTCAGAAGTTTAGAGCCATGAACATAATTGACAGGGAAGAAGAAAATATAATTGGCACCTGACTCAGAATAAGCTACTCAGAATAAATACATCTTTATTTCCTAACTAACTTGCTTTTATTGTAAACTCTTTGAGGTGGGCCAAGAGATGAAATGGACTCCATAAGGTACTAGAACTCCACTGATATAAGCTATAAAATAGATAAATGGACTCCAGAAGATGGTAGAGGACAGGAAGGCCTGGAGGAACGTTGTCCATGGGGCCGCGATGGGTCGGACATGACTTTGCAACTAACAACAACAACATAAAATAGACTTTTATAGTTTTTTTTAAAAAAGTTTTTAATAAATAAAAATCACTTTTTTAAAATCAGTTTGGTGTAGCAATTCATCTGGCTAATAACCAGGGAACTATGAGTTCTAGTTCCATCTTAGGAATAAAGACAGCTGGTGACCTTGGGCCAGTCACTTTCTCTCAGCCCTAGGAAAGAAACAATGGCAAACCACTTCTGAAAAGCCTTGTCAAGAAAACTGCAGGGACTTGTCTGGCAGTCACTGAGAATCAGATGTGATTGAACAACAACAAAAAAAAATAGATCTTAAAAGCTCACAGCATTTCCCTTTTCCGTCTTCTTACAACCAAAGAGAGTCAAGATGGTCAGCATTAACTTTCTTTCTCACACTGTCTTGTTTCCCCAAGCTGAGATCATGTTTTGTTGACCATCTCTATTTACAGGCACTCCTCGACTTATGACCTCGATTGGACCAGAATTTCCATTGCTAAGCATAGTGGTTATTAAGTGGATTGAGCCAAGATAGCCAAACAGAGGCTGTCATAATTTAGTTATGTCATGAGAGCTGACTCACTTGAAAAGTCAATCATGCTGGGAATGATCAGCGGAGAAAGGAAAAATGGCTACCCTAGTATGGACACTAGGTTTTTGTGCCAGTGTCTTTTTATTATTAATCATGTTCATTTGTATTGCACATTGCAAAATATTGAAAGTCTTTTAATTATAGTGAGTCCAAATTTAATCGATCAATATGTATGCTTCCAATGCTGTTCCCTTTGTCTCTAAATCTCCTCCCCATTAGTCTATACTCATAGATACATCTACATACATGCTTTTGGCTGCTGCAGAATCTCTGGTAAGGATCGAGGAGGGAACTGTATTCCTCACAGTGCTATAAAAGTGTCCCAAATATCAATGATAGGAAGAATTTCCCCCCTTTTGCCTTGTTTGAGATTACATATAGTGCTTATCTATACACCCCAATCAACAATGAAAAAGCCTCACACAACCAGGCACCATATAAATACCACACACAGAATAGTCCAAAGCATATATTCTGCTAGAGAGAAGCTTCCTGAAGATGGACTCCAATATGAGTCTGAAAGCTCAGAAGACTAAACCTCTGGTCCCAATGATGGAGACTGGATCCTTACATACAGTCTTCAACTTATGCCACAATTGGGACTAGAATTTATATTGCTAAACAAGGCAGTTGGTAAGCAAGTTCTGCCAAGTTCTCTACAATTTTTGCCATGTTTGTTAAGCTAATCACTGCAGTTTATAAGTGAATCACACAGTTATTAAGTGAATCCGGCTTCTCCCATTTTCTTTGCTAGATGGAAGCTGGCTGGGAAATGGGTCACCACTGTAAATTCAGGCTGGTTGCCAAAAGTGCCCAAATGTTGATCATGTGACCATAGAAATGCTGTGACAGTTGTGAGTGCAAGTACTGGTTGTAAGTCATTCTTTTTAGTGCTGAAATTGTTTAATTGAAATTGACTGATTGATTGAACCTTTTTTTTTTGTACACGGTGGCAGAGGCCTAAAGCGAAAAGGTTTTATAAAACCCAGCTGAAGGCCTAGTATTAGGGCGATGGCATGTGTGCCCACAGAGAGGGCTCTGAGTGTCGCCTCTGGCACCCATGCCATAGGTTCGCCACCACTGGCATAGGTTCTCCTGTTTGAGCAGGGAGCTGGACTAGAAGACCTCCAACGTCCCTTCCAGCTCTATTCTATTCTAATTTACACTGTCTTCTAGAGACATCCAGACATCATTACTTGAACAAGGCTCAAAAGTACTATCAATGAGTCTAAATCATGAGAACAAAATGGCCATATATTTCCAAATCTATATAAATATCTCAGGATTAGGGTTACCTCACCCTATTATTTTCTGTTGCTTTTGTCTTCTCTGATGGATAAATAACCTTCTTTTGGATATTTCAGCTTTTCTTTCCATATTTTGGGTTGTTTACATTATAACTTGCAAAAATGTAGTGACACAAAATCAATTTAAATTCAACACTACAATTTAATTGGTTTGGACAACACTGTGAAAAACATTTATGTTTATTTATTCATGTGTTTACTTTAATTGTTTAATATGTAGATCAATCAGCTTAATTGGTGGGAACCAATTTTAATTGGAAGCTATAATTTTAATTATCAGGGTTGCAAATTAAGAGTAACTTGTTTCATTTTTCAACAGGAAATCCATCATAATCTATTCCAGGATAAACAAGTTCTACAAAAGCTGAAAGACTGGCAAATGAAATATGATGTACACCTTTTCGGATTATAGCTCACTTTTCCACACATAAACACATATATAAGGTTGTGTACTGCTTCAGGTTTTATGCCAAAAGAATACACAGAAGGCATGCGTGCAACCATTGTCTGCAAATCTTTAAAACAGTTGAGGGTTCTAATATTGCTTAGCAATTGCAGCAGTTAATTTTGCAATGACCATATGCTCCAAAACTGTTTTTCTAAATTAATTCATGGTTACATACATGTTTCTCTTTCCTCTGCTGAGCAATTCTACTTTGCAACTTGTATCCCAAATTTCAGTCTTGTTTGCAGTTGGATGGCAATGAGGCAGGACTGATGTTCTTTAACCTTAATTGCAGCCAGGCAGAGAAAGCAAGTGTCACTAGTTGGCTCCTATGAAGATGGTTCTATCAGTGTCCACCTGCCTTTTCCATTTAGAGGCTGATCCCTTCTCACTAATCCCCATGCCTTTTTTCTGCTTTCCCAGATGCTTGTACCCAATGGATGTTTTCACACACAAACGCACACACCCCTCCCATAACTCTTTACACAAGTACACATCCTTTCATTTTTCTCTTATGGTACCAGCATAGCTCCAGTGTCACAACAATCAAAGCAATAGGAATCAAGTTGTTCTTTAGCTCCTATGTTTCCTGTAGTTCCATGAAAGTTTTCAGGTAAGGAAGAACTGATAGTTCAGTTTCAAAGGAACAAAGCAGCAAGGTTCCTATGTTGCAACTTAAATATGTTTTTTTTAAAAAAAAAAAAAAAGGCTAGAGAAGATTTGCAGCACAGAGAGTGAGAAGGTGGGAAAGCAAGGAGAGCGTGTTTCATTCAACCTGACCAGAAACCAAAAGTGTCCCCACTGGAAAATCTATAGTTGAATGCAGTATTAGCTTCTAGAGCTCATAGTCTTCATGGACTAATTAAAAGATTGTATATATTACATAAATGCATAAAGCATAGCAAACCAGGATGAAATAGTTACCTAGGGGGATCAACCAGTGAATAATGGGAAAATGGCATGCTATTAGAACAGAATGAAGTCCTGAAAACCATCTGCCTTGAAGTGATGAAAGCATACAGGTCACAAAATAGTCCTGAACCAAATCTGGAAAAACACAGGTATGGAGAGTATTTACAACAGGCTGCAATAGGAAGGAGACAATGTCATGAATTTCTGCACTCAAGAACTTGTGAGCAGCCTATATTAGTGATGGGTCAAACAGAAAGTGTGAACCTGCTACTCTGGCCCATACAGTTTATATCTTAACAGATCTACATGTTTTTCACATGTATTCCCTGAAATTGCCAGTTGTAGCATTTTATTGTGCCAGGAAATAAGAAGGAAAATATTCTAGCATTCCTTAGGAAAGGAATTATATATTTCCCTTTCATTTTGTTGAGTTGACCTATATCTTGAGATTTTGAAAAACTAGCAGTTTGTTATTTTATTATTTACTTACTTATTTATTTATCCATTTATTAAAGGGAAGATGTTAAACGTTTTTGAATTCACTGATCACTCTGTCATTATCAAAATCATAGTCACATTTATACAAGTCTACAAAACCATATTATTTCATTCCTACTTGGATTCCATGAAATTTTAGACTTTGATTCTCCCTCTTGCCCTTGAATAGAGAAACTTCAGAGGATATATTTATGCTATTTTTGCAAGTGAGGCCCAGTTGAAATACAAATGCCATTTTGTGAGTTGGTGTAGATACGATAACATGAATTGTCAGTACAGATCTCGTCTAACACTCAACAAGTGCTAAATACTAGCATGAATCAAAGTACGCTAGGAATGTTAAGAAGGCACAACTTTGCTGAGATGCTTAGCAATTTGTAAAGGTCAACATGAAAAACCTCACGCTACTTTCATTATTAGATCTGTAAAAGGAAAAAGTATTTATACTTTTATCAACCTTACCAAGATTTATCAGTGGATAGGATGTTATTTGGTAGGTATGTATAAAATATGTATCTCCTTGTATTGCTCTTTGATGGATTAAAGACATGAGAGCAGACAACACTATCAAAGGAGGAAGAAGTTTTTTTGTGTGTGTGTGATGCCTGACCCTTTCACAAACATTTCAGCATTCAACATGTACGCATGATGTGTCCTTTTCCTTGTGACTCCTAACCCAGGGCCCATGTACCTGTCAGGACGTAGATTCTAGATTTGATTTATCCCCTGAAGTAGGCACTACCACTAGATCAAAAAGCAAATACTTAATATCCTTAAAATGCAACCCAGCTGCTCCTACATCTTGAATTTAAGGCTGAAACCCCAGGGAAAATGATGGTTATAAATAATAAAAAAAATGTTTTCCGAAACAAATATCTTCAGAAGAAGAATAAGTGAGCAGATAAGAATTATTTCTAGGCCAATGTACAGGTAGGTTTTAAACTCATGATTAGCATAGCTACAGCATCTGATAGCAGTGTTCCAATATTGATAGCAATGTTCCAAAATTTGAGGGGTTGCCACAAAGAAGAGGGATTCAACCTATTTTCCAAAGCACCTGAGGGCAGGACAAAAAGCAATGGATAGAAACTAATCAAGGAGAGAACTAACCTAGAACTAAGGAGAAATTTCCTGAAAATTAGAACAATTAATCAGTGGAACAACTTGCCTCCAGAAGTTGTGGGAGTTCCAACACTGGAGGTTTTAGAGATTGGACAGCCATTTGTCTGAAATAGTATACAGTTTCTTGCTTGAGAAGGAGGTGGACTGGAAGACCTCCAAGGTTCCTTCCAACTCTGTTATTCTGTTACCTTTCTCAAGCTCAAGCCCTCATACTTGCTTAGAAGAGTTACCAATCTGCCTCTTTAGATCTACCAACACAATATTTTTAAGTAGCTTATCTATCTATTTATCTACAAACACACATACACGCAGAGAGGGGGAATATGTGCATGAAACAGCAAAACACACATTTGTTATCGCAACCGTTGTGTGTTTGTTGATGTTATAATGTTACATCTTAAATGGAAGTCATAGAGATTAATAAAAAAGATTATGTGTGTCCCTGTGGCTAATTGGATTAAATACTAGGACTAAGATTACACAAAGGAACAGCAGCCATCTCAAGAACAAAGGCTGCTGAACAACCCTGAAACAATGAAAGTTTGAAGTAATTTGCCATTAAAAAATTATATGAATCTGTGTGATATATAGCATTTTGGGTATACTGTAGTGTTAGAAAAAAAATTGTGTTTTAATGTTATTACTATAATAGACCACCTACAACCGAAATGTAGGACTGAATAGGCAGTGAATGACAAAATGACTGTGTTATTCAGATAATGCAAGGACATTGTAAAAATGAGAGATTTCTCCTTGAAAATATTTGCATCAGTTTGGAGAGTCTTGTCATTCGAGACTGGTAACTGTAATGTAACAAGCAATGTTCCATGAAAAAATGCTACAGGAATGTAAAATATTATTTGAAGTACAAATATTCCAAGCACTAAAGAACAAGACATATTGAGTGATACAACAGCTGCTTTGCTGATGCTGCTTAACTGATTTAGTTTAATGACAATGATTGATAATAAATATTGCTTAATTAAGAGGGTATTAATATCACCCTTTAAATGGAGGGATCAGATTGTTAAAAATTTGTTTGAAACAAGGTACTGAACATACCAAAATTCATGTCATTCAAGAACTGAAGGTATGCAAGATTGATATCAAATATCACTGTCATGTAAAATTAGTTGTCCAGCAGTGAAACAAAGAGTTAATCATGTTTGTGAGAATTGGCTCACCTTTGAGTAAATGAAGTAAAAAGCGATTCAGTTGTCTTTGTTTATCAAGTACAAAATGCTCCAGTTTAAGAAAGATTCAAGGTTTAGAAGGCTTTTGACTTGGGCATTGGGCCCTATGCAACAAGCTGTAGGTCAGTGATGAGAAAAATAAGGTTCCTGCACCTAGGAAGAAAAAACCAGATGCACAGCTAGGCTAGTATGTAGACAGTATCTGGCTCAGTGCCTATGAGAGCAATCTAGATGTCCTAATAGACCATCACTTAACTATGAGCTAGCTGCAGCATACTGCCAAAAAACCCAATGTGGTCCTGAGCTGAATCAACACAGAAATAATATCAAGACCAAGGGAAGGACTTCCGGTGGTTAAAGCGGTGGAGATGGCGGCTACTTTGTAGCCGTCCTCCTGAGAAGGTGTCAGATCCGCGGAGCACAGCGTTTACCAGCTGGCCCGCGGCTCGCAATCCCCTTCCCGGGCGAAGGGAAGGGGTAGAGATCGCATGAATAGAGGTAGAACCTCTTAACTCTCCCTGGATTTTTATTTTTAGGGGGGTAGAAAGAGGGTTCCCTCGGAGTTCATTGCCTTCTCCGCCTCTCAGCTGTCTTTGTTTCTTCGGAAACAAAGCGAGACGCCGCTACCATCTCCGTACTTAAAGAAACCGTGAGTAATCTTAAACCGGACAGAACTGTTTAAAGGATTTTATTTATAGTTTAGCTTTATTTTATTTTTTTTAGTTTATTTAGTTTATTTAGTATCTGCTGATTTTTTTTTATTTTTTTGAGCTTTCTCTTTTTTTTCGGGCGGAAAAGTGAGAGTGAAAGTAAAATGGCGTTTTGAAAGTTTTTTTTCCTTTAAAAGACGGATCGGCTGAATTGTTGTTTAATACTGCTTTTTTTTTACTTTTTTTACTTTTTTATTCTTGGGGACTTTTAGATTGATCTTATTTTATTCTATTTTATCTTATTTTTAATTTTTTTTTGGATTACTTATTTTTATCGGTATTTTTAAGAAGAAAGGAAGATAAATTAAAATGGCTTCAAAACGACAACCAGCTACTGCAGCTTCTAAAGTAACTTCTTCTCCTGCTACTTCTACTGTGCAACAACAACTTAAAATAATACCCTCAGTGCAGCAACCTAAATCCACTCCACCTTCACCTCCCCCATCTGGCACATCAGCACAAGACATTAAAGAAATAATGGTAAGTGCTGTCTCACAGTTTAGGGAGGAAATGAAACAACTTTTGGACCAGAATAAATCTGAAACTAAGGAGGAAATGAAGAAAGAGATGAAGGAGCTTTTAGAACAGAATAATGCTATTTTGAGGGATGATATACTTCTAGCTCTATCTGGAATGGCCTCAGTGGTTGTGAAGCTGGACTCCAGAGTAGAGGAAATTGAAGAAACAGTTGAACTTTTGGATTATAAATTTCAAGATATGGAGAAAAAAGTGGAGACTTCACAAGATGATATTCTTATGTTCCAGTATAGACAGATGGAATATGCTTTGAGAATAAGGGGTCTGAAAGAAGATAAAACTCAAGATTTGATGGAAATGGTGATTAATGACTTGGCTGTTATTTTGAATATTGATAAAGAAGAGTTACGTGGGGATGTGGAAAGAATTTATAGAGTTAATTCTTGGATTGCAAAACAGAGGAATTTGCCTAGAGATGTGGTGATATATTTTGCTAAGAAGTCTTTGCGAAATCAGATTCTACAAACTTTTTATAATAAAAGATTTCAGATTGCTGCCCAAGATATTATTATTTTAAAGGAAATTCCACCTAAAATTTTAAGAAGCAGAAAAGATTTTGCTTTTTTAGTAAATGAACTTAAAGCAAGACAAATGCCATTTAGATGGGAGATTCCGATGGGCATTGTTTTGAGCCATGCGGGGACACGTTATAGACTTAATACAGTTGCTAAAGCTAAGGAATTTTATAAAACGGTCCTGGGAGCAGGCTCTCCTTTGCCCATGATGCATAAAGTCTTGAGTGACAAAGAGACGGAACAGAAATCTGAAGGTACAGGGATGATGACTGCTGGACAGGTGGTATGGATGTCTCAACCAGAGGTTAAAGAACAGAGAATGACCCGTGCAG